ATATAAGGAATTTTTAAATTTTAATAATATAATATAATATATAAAATATAATATTTTTAATTAAAAATTTTGACTAATTGACTCAATTCATCGAACTTAACTAAAAAATCACATTATTATTATTATATTAAATGCGACCTTAAGTTTCTAAATGTTTTTCTTATTAAAAACAGAAACTTCCCTCAAACATAATTTAGGTTTCCATCAAATATCAACATGAATTATTAAAATAAAACTAATTTTTAATTAAACTGAAAATAGTAAAAAAATCACATTTTTTTTCCCACTCACTGCTAGGTAATGGCTAGAGAGGCATGTAGTGAGTGTGCCACCAATTAATACCATCACATAGTTGTAGGATTTGCATACTTGTTTAACATTTAAGTTTTTATGGTTCGAATAAAAAATGAAATACGATTTCATATAGATTATAAAAGAACTTTTTCCAAACAATTCTGGTTAAAAAATAAATAAAAATTGAATACGTTTATAAAAAGTGTTGTATGGATGATTTCATGTTTGGTTCTTCGTTACATAATTATGATAATTAGAACCTTAAATACATTGAAAATTATTATTATGAAAACTAATTATCAGGTCAATCATCATGGTCTCGTTACCTATTTTTTATATATATTTTAAATTCTAATTATTATAAAAGAAATATGAAAAGATATTCCAATACTTAAATTAATAAAAATATGATATGGTAATAAAGTTTGTATGAATTATTAGACGTATATAATGAATCCTCTTATTGGTTTATAGTAAAAACAATTAAAAGATAGAAAGAGAGAATGAGATATAACTTAACGAAAAGGATTGTGTTGTGAGGGGACGTGGCATATTTGGGTGCATGGCGTTGTGTGAGGGTGTGAAGACTGAAATGAAAGAAATGGGTTGTAACAAGTCCTATATTGGGGAGAAGTGTCCTTATCAGGGAGGTGTTATAAGGTAGGAGGTTCTCTAATTTCTTGAGCTAGCTTTTGAGGGATGGTTCTCCTCTTAGTCTTATGGTTGTTTTAATGATGTTTTCATTGAGAGTCAGTCAACTCGAGAAGGGCTACCCACGGAGGGTTCTGACCGGTAAGAAGGCTGAGTAAAGTGCTAGTGAGTGAAGTGCCGGTGAGTAAAGTGTCGTGGAGTGCTCCTATCAAGGACGCTGGCTTTCGAACGGGATGGTATTGTAACAAGTCCCACATTGGTTTGGAACGGGGTGGTATTGTAACAAGTCCCACATTGGGGAGATCTCCTTACCAGGAAAGTCTTATAAGATAGGAGGTTCTCTAACCTCTTGAGCTAGCTTTTAAGGGATAGTTTCCCTTCCTGGTATTGGGTTTCATTTTATGTTAAGCGCCACAGTGTAGCCACGTAGCCTTGAACTTGGTCCTAATAGCTAGGTCATCCCAAACATGTCAACTCAACAGAAAAGACACTCCCATCACAATCAGAATCGTTCATTCTAGTTCCCTAACCAAATGTTCAATAAATGTGTATCATGCATTAACGTCACTTCATGATTGAGGGGTTTTGGTGACAAGTAAAAACTTATTATGCCTTTCACTTGAATCAAAACGATGAAAGACCACATATAAGATGTAATGTTTTGATCAGAGGCGTTACATGTCATTCGTTTTAATCTTGAAAGTTGCACCTTCTCATACTCATTACGTCTATAATAGCAAGAGAAATAGAGTAACATAAAAAGCTGAATAGAAATTAATAATTGAGGATGAAAGAGAGATAGAGAAAAGATGGTGATTGAGATATTGTTGTAGGGTTTTGGGGTGATACTGTGGAAGTTGATGGGTCTACGGGGGAAGTTACAATATTTGAAAGTGAGGGACAAATCAGGAAAAACAGCAAAATGAAAAAAAAAAAAATCTGAACCATCTACTTAAAATATAGATATATATTATTGGATATAAATAGTAGGTATAACCAATAAATATCCATTTTAAATAATGTGAAGAAAGTTATATTTAGAATAGAAATAAATACTTGGTTACATATTTTATATTTTATATTTGAGTGGTTTAAAAATAAAAAAATTGTTTAAAATTTTAAAAAAATTATTTATATAAATACTTTTAACTATCAAATTTTAAGTAATTTATTTACGAAAATTATAATAAAATATTTAATTTTATTTCTAACCATTCTTATTAAAAACTTACATTCAATATCTCTAAGTGAGTAAGGGAAATGAAATTGAATGGAGTGTGTTACTAATCAATTATTAAAATCAACATAAACTTTACAAGATTTCTTAACTTTAATTAATTTGAATCATAATATCACACTTTAGCAAAAAGAAAATACATTTACCTATCTGATATGATTTGATAAAATATTTTCACCCCATTGAACATAAAAATAATATCAACTTTTTTGTTTTTTCACTTGGGTTAGAGAAATTAACATTAATTCCTGTCTTTTTCTTTTAATTTATTAGAACGTTTTATAAAAATCAAAATTGTGAAAAATTAAAATTCTAAAATAGATGATGCCTTAAATCGTAATAATAAAAAAGAGGAGATGAAGAATAGACACATGAGAGTTAAAATCATGGTTTCATGCTGTTGGTGTTGGTAGGTGCAGTTGGTAGCTGTAACAGTGAGCACATACTTGCTTCTTGTTTTGATGGTGGCAGTTTACTGTGTTAGTCACTTTACTGTTGTCCATTTCAATCCTGTTGTCACATAGATTTTGCCACCACCAGAACACTAGAAGGTTTCCCTTCAACAACTTGTACCTGACTCAACATTTTCCTTCAGAACACTCTGTGGTAAACACATCCAATTAATGTATTGTTATATACATTAGATGGATATATAGGTCTATACCAGAAGACCCTGTTCTATCACTAGGATGGTTAGGGTTAGAAACCTTATTAATGGAGGCTTCATTAACATAAACAGGGTGTTATTTTTCTTGTAATAAAGAGGAAACATGGAGTTTGTAGCACTTTGTTTGGTGTATAATAGGCACAGTAGAGGCTATCTTTCTTATTTCGACGACTATGGTTTTCACCTGTTAACTGTTGATCCAGACCAGTATAGCTAGAGGGGTGCAAAAAGTAAAGGCAACAGTGCTAGGATCATCAACCATGCTAGAAAAAAAAAGAAAAAAAAAGGCAAAGATAAAATAACACCATAAGAAAAGTGATAAAAATGCTTTTAATAACATGCATATATTATAGAAAAATGATTAATTCTATTGATTGAAACTTTTATATATATATATATATATATATATATATATATATATATATATATATATATATATATATATATATATATATATATATATATATATATATATGGTGATGAAAAGAAAAACTAACAAATACTAACTAAAACTATAAATTTAGATAAACAAAGCGAATAAACTATTTCGGGTGGTAAAAATTGTACGGATTTAACCTTAATTTTATGTTTATATTTCAAATTTCAAGTGAGAATTAATACTCGAAAACTAAGACTAATTTTGAAATAATAGAAAAAGTTGTCACAAACCTAATACTCCCTCAATTTACATGATGTTAAAGATTTTTAATAATTTTTTAATTGATTATCATTTATTTCTTTCAACATAGTAACTATAATTTTATTATAATATTATTTTACTGATTTAAATTTTTTTATTGTTATTAGATACAAATAATTAGAACATTTTTTTTATGATTGCTTAGAGTTGAAAATTTTGTTTCTTTAAAGAATATTATTTTATTAGAGTCAATCGACATGATACACTTATTCCTTCAAGTTAAACTTTAATTTTTATTTAAGAAACAGTAAATCGAGAATTTAAAATTGTAAGAACCATTATATTGAAATAAAAAAAAAGTTCTTTTGAATATAAAATTGTAAGTTATTTCTATTGATAAATTGAGTATAATTTGCTTGATGATATATGATAGTATGTAATTCAATTTTTTATTTTTCTATGAAATAGCATATGTGACAAAAACTGGAGAAAGAATATAAGAACTTTATGGCAAGGAAGATTAACCATATGACGAAACAGCTCATTTTTTTTATTTTTTAAAATGTAATTAACAAAATGTTATTTTTAAAAGTCGAAAACAAACAAATTCCTAATATATATATATATATATATATATATATATATATATATATATATATATATTTGTACTACGAGTAATAAAAACATATGATTTTGTGTATACTGATAAAAAAAATTACAAAATACATATTAAGGTAAACATTAGTTATTTTTTCATTAACTTGACCAAAAAAAAAGAAAAAGGTTATTATTTTTGAAATGTCTTGAAGAGAGGAAAACTAGGGAAGAAGAATTGAAACGAGACCAGAACAGGGGATTGGAAGGCAATAGAACCTGCGAAGTACGGTTCCTTTTTAAACATAGAAAATTGTGTTCTTACTATTCAAAGGTTTGTTTAAAGCTGCTGTGATGCATGTTGCTGGATTCCCACTCCCTCATTATGGACAAAGCCACGAATTATTGTTATGTGAGACCAATAGATCTGAGAAAACATTCAACATATATTGACAATTTAGCCCACAAAACAAGACAGAAGAGAAGATCAAAGTATGGACGATGAGAAATTAAAATGTGTCCTCCTGTTTAGTCCACAAACATAAGAAAGAGAGAAAGAGAAACACAAACACATCATTCATTGGTTGTGACGACTATGGTTTTTCAAGTGGAGAATCAAAAGACATTATTGTACTTTTCCATTCTTGAACCGACAACAGTATTGAGTGGTGCCTCGTACTTGAAGAACGCTTTCTATCTCATTTTTTAAAACCCTGAATGAGTGACCAACAATGATGAGCCTATTGAACATTCAAGCCCTACTACAAGGCTATACAACTACAATCAATCGATAGCTGTTCTCTAAGCCACCATGTTGCACTCACCACGTGCTTATTCTCCCATAAATAATGCCATAACCAAACTCTTCCGTTACAACTGCATCTCCAGTTCATAGTTCAAGTGTCTCCCTCTCATACATGGCACCCCCCAAGAACGATGAATCAGCCAAGAAAACTAGCAACAGAGCATGGACCGCGGAGGAAGATCAAAAGCTAGCCCAATGCATTGAGATTCATGGTGCAAAGAGGTGGAAAACTGTTGCTATTAAATCAGGTTAATTATTTATCTATATATACATGCATACTATACTATATAAACTGCATGCATTGACTCCTCTTGACATAATGGTTTAACAGGTCTAAACAGATGTGGGAAAAGTTGCAGGTTGAGATGGTTAAACTATCTGAGACCCAATATCAAGAGGGGCAACATATCAGTGGAAGAAGAGGATTTGATCATTAGGCTTCACAAACTGCTGGGAAACAGGTTTTTGTCGTATTCAAAGTTAAGAATATTCAATATTTTATGTGGTTAAGTATGAGCATGCTTATGAATATTGCAATCCACGTTTTCTTGTGTCAAGGTGGTCATTGATAGCTAAGAGGCTTCCAGGACGAACAGACAATGAAATTAAGAACTACTGGAATACTTGTTTGTGCAAAAAGGTTAATCATCACACGAAGGTGAAACCAAAAATTTCAATGGCACAACCAACACAGTTGACTCAGAATACTGAGGAAAAAGTAGCAGTAGAGAATAAAGAAGTCACTGATGATGGGGACTCAGAAGTTAACTTTGATGTCAACGAATTCTTCAACTTCTCCATTGAAGGACCCTATGCGTTGGATTGGATGATCTAGCTGAGGAGTTGTTAACTCCTTGCGTATCTCTTAATTAATGAATTTGTGTGAGCTTTGCCTTGGATATTACTTGTTATGTGGTCATAAGTGGAGTCTAGAAATCCATGTGTGTGAGTTCCATTAAATAATTTGAACTTTCATCATTGTATTTAGTGGAACTTACATAATCTATATCTATATATATAAAATAAATTAAGTGTAACAATAATATGTGTTAATGAGAGTACCGAATAAAGTTTGATTGTAGTTTTTCCCCCTCCATATAATAGAATTATTTCTAAAAAATGCCTTGTCAAATGAGAACGACGATATATTCAGCATATCAATATTTGGTTAATTATTATTCATTAAAAAAGTGATGAACAATTATGATTTTTATTAAATATTTACTCTGGTTGCAAAAACAAAGATGTGCATAGTTAGTTTGTTTTGTTTAGACGTGTTCATCATTGATTTTAAAAAAATAATAATAATGACGTGTTCGTCGTTGATTGAAAAAAAAAATTACACTAAGAATGTTAAATATATTTAAAGGAGTATCATGCATGTTCCTTAATTAGAAATTAGTAGGAAAAATTTAATAAGTTAAGTGTAACGAAATTAAAACAAAATAATAGAAGGACATTTTTATTTTCACTTCTAAATTAACGAAATAATATTAGCTAAAATTTTTATTTTTTATTTTTTATGAAATAGTATACTTAGCTGGGACTAATAAACTTACTATTAGCTGGTTTAGTATTTTTATTTTATTTTTTCAAAAAGCTCAAAACGTTATTCAAATTTTCACTATTTCATTCTTTACTTTACTGAGATGAATATCATAGTGATATACAACTTGTATGTATATTATACACACAATCGTTGCGGACAAACTTGTCCTCTCCTTTTATTTATATTATATTATATTATATATATATATATATATATATATATATATATATATAAATAAAAGACTTAATATAATTTTAGTCCGTATATATAACTAATTCATGAATATGTCATTTTTTACTCTGTTAAAAATCAAATTGTAAATTTAGATTTCTAATTATAATTAGATTTTTACAATGACTAAAATTACACATTCATGAACCAAAATTAAACTTAAGTGAAACAATTGTATAAAGAAAAAAATAAGCAAATCAATTTATGACAGTAAAATAAGATACATATACATGATTTTCATTTATTTTAAATAATTTTTATCTTTTAAGTTAATTTTAGGATACATTGTCAAGAGCCTATCCAATACTTTTTTTCTTTTGATATACGCTATTATTCTCAAGTAATTCATAATTGACTTTATTTTAATAGATTTAAAAAAAATAAAAAACTCAATATTTCTGTTATTATTTCTCCTATTTTATTTATTTGTTATAAGTTACTTAATGAAATAATTATATAAAAAAACAACAACTTACTGAATAAAAGATTATTTAGGACATTTTCAAAATAAATTCTTAATAAAAATTGTTTAGAAATAAAAATTAACATTTTATTATAGATCTTATAAATAAATTATTTAATAATTTTCTTTTAAATTAAAATAATTTATAAGTAGATCCGTAATTAAATATTTATTTATTTTTAAACCTTGATAATAATTATCATTAAAGATGATTTAAAATAATTAAGATTTTATTTAAGTAAGTGACCAAAGTACCATTAGTAAGATTCAATGAAATAGATAACTATTGGGAAAATGATATTGTGACAAGAAGAAGATGAATGTTTGAGTTTAAAGAAAAAACAACAACAAAAAAAAGGTTTAATGGAAAAGAATAGTTAGATTAGAGAATGTTTGGGTTTAAGGTTAGAAGAAGAGACGAAGAAGTGGATAGTTATAAAATATTGGATCAAGATACATTTTTTTCAACCTAAGTAATTGAGATTTTATTTTATTGTATTTCATTTGTTTTACACGTGTATAATTAGTTAGCTTGAAAATGATGTGTTACATCAGAAGGTACATGCTAAAGCAAAATATGTAGAAACAATAAGAAACATGGAAAAGAAATGGCATAATGTATTATATGAATATGAAAAGCTACAAAACCAAATTCAATCAACTTTTTGACTCATTCCATCCTTCTTTCTAAAGCTTTTCGACATGCCATCTGATTATTTTCCTTTCCAGGTTGTCTGGATTTAGCCATGAAATCAGAGGGGATGATTTATTTTAAAAGTCTCATTTTTTAGATTTTAAAGAAATACCAATTTCATTTTGTTCTTTTTTTGTCCCTAGTATGTCATGAAAGGTAATTATGCCTTAATTTTTATAAAATATTACTTTTTTATTTGTTAATTATTTTAATAGTAAATAATTTAATACAAATATTAAAATAATAAATAAATTGATCTAAAATTAATAAAATAACATTTTCATCAATTCAATTAATCCTATTCTTGGACAATTTTTCATAATTTCTCTTCATTTCTCATTTTCTTTCTCTCACCTAAATAATCTAATTTTTCACTTTCTTTCCCTACTTTTTCATTCTATCAAATCTAGTTAATCCAAACACAAACTTATTAAACTCAAATTAAAACTAATTTTTCATCTTATTTTATAGTACTTTTTACAACTTGTCTTATCATCCAAAATTATTGAACAAATATATATATCCTTAGTTTTAGTCTTTTGAAGAGTTTTTGAGATAATTATATTATTTGAATATGTAACTCAAAAATCAAAGGAATAATTATTTGTTTTCCGAATTTTGACACATTTTCCCTTGGACCAAGAGAGTAAGCATGTGAAGAAGAGTTGCAGGTACATTTTGAGTCTTTGGGTTGGAGGATTGCTTCGTTTACTTTGTGTTATTTGTGAGTGAATACGAAGAAGAAGAGAACACACCTTCTGGAAACTTAAATTTCACAAACTTGATTCACATTTACCATCTTTCTGTCTAATCCGTTAGTAACGAGAGTTATGAAGGAAAACAAAAAACAATAATCTCTACGACGATGTGAGAGATACATTTAAATTTAACATCAATTAGAAATCTAATAATTGTATAATATATAAATAAGATATAAATCTAATTTTATTAAATTGATTTTATAAAATTGAGTATGTATTTTTTTATTTTTAATATGATAAGTATTTCTGTAATTTTATATTATTTTAATAAGGTTTTTGAATTTTTCGATAAAATTAATGTCTGAAGATTCTCATAAATAAAAATTGAATCTATAAAAGAATATAATATATATTCAATTTCCTTTTTTTATTATTATAAATAATTATTTATGTTTAAAAAACTAAAAATACAAATATAAGTGTTTTATAATCAAGGTCTTGTCATTTCAGGGTTTGGAATTAATTTATTAAAATTTCATTTTAATATATTGTTTTACATAGTACACTTGGGTATTACTTTCATCATAAAAATTTATAATTTTAAAATTTAAGGATTAATATAAATTGGAAAAAATACATTATAGATGTAGAATTATATAATTTTTACAACACTTGCTATAGTATTAAAATTAAATTTTAATGAGTAATAGATATTAAATAAAATAGAAAACTCTAAAGAGAATTGAAATAAGTGATTTTTCACACACAAATAATGAATGACCAAGACATGTACCTCTCTGGGTATTTGTTTCACTCTCTCAAAGGAATTTTTTTTAAATAATACATTATTTTAAACTAAGATAAATTTTTTTAAATTACTATTCCCACTAAATAAAATTTATTTTGATGAATGGCTTCGCTTTAACTCATTATAATTTAATCTTTGATTATTTAATTTATCAGTTTCTTAATAAATCATATTTCTCTCATTTCAGACATTAACACGCTAAAGATTTACTTATGTTTTTTTTTCTGTAATTTTAAATCATTTTTTTAGTTACTCGAATTTAAATTCATTAAAACATGATTTGAGTTCCTAAATTTAATCTCTTAAAAACTAATTTTTCAAAATATTATTTTATTTTCTTAAATTTATGTTTTAGAAATTCGAAGTTGCATTTTTTTTCAAATTTTAAAAGATTAAAATATTTTTCTTTTAAATTAGAGATCAAAATCATAATCTTATGCTAAAATTTTGAAACATAATAAAAAAATTATGAGTACAAAACACTGTGGTTCATTATACATGAATATATTTTCTCATTGAGGTTTTAGTTTGTAAGTTATAAAAAAAAACCAATACATGTATTGAACAGAACTCTCAATGCAAAAGAAATAGTTTTTTTTTTAACAAAAAAAACAGGTGATTTGATTTTATTCTCAATCAAGCTTTTGTTTTTTATGCAATGTCTTTAATTTTTCAAAATTTAAACCAATGTTGTTGTGATGATGTAAAATGAATGAAAAGACAATATCCAACTAGAAAGATTTTTGCTTGCTCCAGGTACATTCTGTCGCGTGCTGAATTTAACTTTCATTTTTTCTTTACAAAAACCTTTTGTTTAATTTTTTTTTTTTAAGGAATAGAAGATCAAGACGCTGTGTTTGTGATCTAGGGTCTTGTTCCTCTGCAGCTCTCTGTGGCAGTGACGTGATGCAAGATGCTGCACCAATAAACATTCATCCAAAAGCTTCTGTCACAGATGCTTGTAGCTACACTACTCATCATTTTAAATTTGATTCACTCTTATACTTTTGAAACACATGATATAAATCATGGGTTTCTGAGGGAAACTTGTGTTGTCACCACCCTTGGATGAAAATTCCAAAATTAAACTCTGGATTGATGCAGAAACTGCACCATGACAGAAGAGTCCCTAGTTTTATCATGTTAATAAAGTTTACATGTTGTAATAATGTCTTTTTTGCTACTTCTTGTCTTTTGAATTAATTCAAATCCAAATCATTAATAATATCCTTAAGTGATATCCATTTTCCATTTTTAAGCCAAGTTTTCAAGTGATATATATCCTTAAGTGATAAGTCAACATAAAATTATTTCTGACTAACTCATTAATAATAAATGAGTATAAAAAATTATTTAAATTATAAATACTTATTAAAATTGAATTTGTTATAAACAATTTTGAGTATTTGTATCATCTATTGTAAAACTATTTTAATTGAATTTTTTTACCATTTAAAACAAATATGATTCATATAAATTAAACCTTTTGTTTCCTTACATAACTTACTAATACTAAATCAGTATTTTAAAAGTCTATAATATTATTATATTAAACACATGCATTCTTGTATTTGTACCTCGCATTTTTTTATCCTATCATTTTATTTTAATATATATTAAATTTAATTATATATATAAAATACCCGTAATATTATTTATTAATAAAATAAAAATTTAATTAAATAATATTTTATTTTATAGCATATTTGAATTATATGAAAACAAATATAGAAAATTATGAGCGGTTATCAATTTTAATAAATTATAATGCAGAAAAAGTTATATAGTTTTTTTTAGTGAATAAGTATGTTATTATTAATTTGTGTTTTATTAAATAATTAAATTTATTTATTTAATAAAAAATAAATTATTCATATACTAATATATATATATATATATATATATATATATATATATTCACATCTATTATGTACACAATTGATTTAAACTAATCATATAAAATAGATAAAGTATCATGATATTTATCTTTTAAATTATTGTTTTAAAAAAAATCATAACGAATCACAGTGCACATAATAACTTGAATCTTCATTTTCAATATATTTACACAATATTTCAATTGAGAGTACATATAAATTATACTTTTTATTTACATAACTATCTTTACTTTTAATATATTGTATTTAAAATAAGGATTTTGTTGTGTATATATAAAAAAAAACGATCTGGACCACTCATAAAAATAGGAGGTTTTGAACCAAACTCTAATGAAGTTTAATCGGCACTGTAGGCCAGGCCCAAAAAGTAAAAAAAAGAAAAGAAGAAGCCCAACTGTGAAAATGGAGGCCCATACTAGCAGTGGTGCTTCTATAAAGTATTTGAACTCAGTCTGAAACCCTAGGTTTCAGTTGGGGCGGGTGAGGTAGAACCCTTCCACTGTGGTGACTGCGCGATGGGTATGTTCTTTGTCTTGTCTCCTTTGCCATTAGGATTAAATTTTGTTTTCGTTTTCAATTATCTTATGGTTAGATCTGATGCCGGAATGCGAATGATTATTTTGTTCAGTAGCAATGATTAGCTAACCTGTCCTTCATTGTTTCGCCAGAGATTCCTGAAGAGGGTTTAGGGTTTTAGTGCAAAGCTGAAATAAGAGAAAGACCATACCAGCGCGGTTGTTTGTAATTGTCTCCCAGTGTTAATGATTCTTTCATTCTAATATTGCTGTTGGTTGCAATTAAGGATTAGTCCTGCAACGTGCACTTTTGTTTAGCCCGAAATCGTGTGTGTGTGTGTGTTTTAAATGTTTAATGTCTGTTGTGATGTTTGATACTTGGAAGTGTCATTTTTCCTGACAAAACATGTTTAGTCGGAGTGTAGGAACTGAAAAACACACACACGCACACATACACACACACACACATATATATATATATATAGGTATATGCTGTATGATTTTTTGAAGTTGATAGTTAGATCCAATGCAGTTGATCTTTTGGAGAGGGCGTTAATTGTTTTAACAAGATGGTTGTATCTGTTGCATGTTTGATTTCGGTAGTGTAAACCTATTTGTGATCTCACTTACACCAACCAGATGGTAAATCTTGTACAGTTTTGAGGTTTGTCATTAAATTAGTTTTAACTACACCTTAGTGTCAATTTAAAATCAAGTTATATTTTATATATATATATATATATATATATATATATATTCATATTTTATAGGCTTTTTATCACTTATAATAGATGTGGACGTGATAATTCTTAATCATCAGTTGGGACTAATTGATATATATCTGTTTTTTTATTCTGATAAAATCACGTGGTGTCTTTGTTGGAAGTGTTGTTGATAAAATATATTTTTGTTGATGTGATTGACAATAGGTGCCTACAAGTATGTTTCAGAGCTATGGCGCAAGAAGCAATCTGATGTCATGCGCTTTTTGCAGCGGGTGAGGTGCTGGGAGTACAGGCAGCAGCCTTCCATTGTTCGTTTGACAAGGCCAACCCGCCCTGACAAGGCTCGTCGCTTGGGCTATAAGGCTAAGCAGGTGACAATTTACGTCTTTCTTTTCATAATTTTATTATGTTGATTACTAAAGTACTTGCAGTGCCTCTTTATTTCAATCAAATGTATACTAATGCATTAATTGTATTACTTCATTTACTTATTTCATTCACATAAGCCCACTTGGTAAATGCATTAATATATTACTTAGTAGTTTGAGTATTGCATTATGGTGCCCAGTGTGTTTGTCATTGTATGTATAGCTATTTGTTTCGGGGTTGATTGTGATTATGACACTGCAGGGTTATGTGGTGTACCGTGTTCGTGTACGAAGGGGTGGCCGAAAGAGACCAGTTCCCAAAGGTATTGTTTATGGGAAGCCAACAAACCAGGGTGTTACTCAATTGAAATTCCAGCGTAGCAAGAGGTCAGTTGCTGAGGAGCGAGCTGGACGGAAGCTGGGTGGACTTAGGGTCCTCAACTCTTACTGGGTGAATGAGGTATGTTATGTACTTGTCGAAATTGAAATTTGGTTATCACCTGTTGGTTTTGGTGAAATCCCACTGTTGTGTGTTTCAGGACTCGACTTATAAGTACTTTGAGGTAATTCTGGTTGATGTTGCTCATGCTGCTGTTAGAAATGATCCCAGAATTAATTGGCTCTGCAATCCAGTGCATAAGCACAGGGAGCTGCGTGGGCTCACCTCTGCCGGGAAAAGCAACAGGGGTTTACGTGGCAGAGGACATCTGTACCACAAAGCTCGTCCATCCCGCAGGGCAACCTGGAAAAGGAACAATACCCTTTCACTTCGCCGCTACCGCTAAATTTTATGCTGTTATCTTACCTTTGCTTCTATTTACTATTTTGGGGACGTACCATTTGTTTGATGTTTTGATTTTGGATCTAGTTTTGAACGCTTCAATATATCTTTTTCTATAAATGATGACTACTTTTCTGTGTTTAAATTTATAGTTTATTGTTTATATTAGTTATCTACCCTGCTTCTTGAAATTGAGTGGTGGGGGCAGCGATTTTCTATCGCACCTTTATTTATAAATTTAATGTGTTTTTATGAATACAATTTTTTTGTAACCCTCTTTCATCTGTCAATTTAATTTAACCATTCGTTCGGAATCAACCCTTATAATTATAATGGGATCGTATAAAATAAATGGTTTTATGAATTAAATTACTTGAATATTGAGTATTAATAGAGATTTGTTAGAAGCTATTAATTTGCTAGATGATTGTCTAGACTCAGTTATTAAATTTAATTTTATCCGAGTTTAAATTTGTTTATTTCTTTATTGGTAAAATGTAATTTTTGTTATAAGTACGGCATTAAAAGTAAATTATTGGATGTAATATCTATATGTATATACATTAATGTTAATTTCTACCAAAAATATTTATTTTTTATTGAATAATAGTTAGTAACTGTTAAGATTTATAAAATTATTAAGTTTGTAGATTATATTTTCAGAAACTAAAATCATTTTTTACTGGTATTATATTATTTAATTTAAATGTATTACTTGGAACTCAAATGGTAGACCTTTTATATTAAAAATATGTATAATATAACCCTTCTTTACTCGATCCACTATTTCTAGAAAAAAAATTCACCAATGTAAGTTGTGTTATGCGTATACACAGAAGATGACAATTTATTGAAAAATAACTCCCGTTCGACTTCAATGGTTGGTGCAGCTTTCTTTAAGATTACGCAAAGCTTGCCGAATCGTATCTTCGTCTTGGTTGCAATATTTCAGGCATAGCAAGCGTTGTGCAGCATGGTATGTCCTCTGGATTGAATAGTGCTGTATACAGTTAGCTTCCATTCTCTTCCCTTCCTAATGACACCAACAAGTCAACACACAAGATGTCAGTACTAGTTTGTAATATGAATCAAATGCATCAAACGAACACTAACGACACGAGATTAATTTATGGTTGACAGTTTAATAAAAATTCAGCGTGCTAATCACCCCGTACGCGTTACTTAGGATAGGAATGGCTTATTTCAGTGTGGTTGGCGAAATTTTACATGCGTTCATGAAAGAATTTCGATATAAATGCATTATGAAACTACTCAAAATTAAAACCCCTTCAAAATCTAAGCATTTCGACTGTCTGCCGACGCCTGCAATATCAAATTCAAAACAATGGAGTAAGATTTGAAATTTCACCTAGAGTATTTCTAATTTTAGGAATGAATCTGCATTAGGTTCTCAGTATAAGATTATCAAAATTAATATTAGCGCCCAATTTTGACAAGTTGTGTGGACACCTTTTCTGAAATCCTAGATGTGATCATTCTGGCAGTCTCAATAACCGAACTTGGTAATCCTGCCACTTCTGCTAATAGAAGGCCATAATGGGGGATACGTGTCGTTCCTTCCTTGAGTTGAAACTAAATAAAGCAGAATTTCAGCTCGGAGATAGTTATCCCAACGCAAGAAAAAAAAAATGTAGACATACCACCTTGAAGTCCAAGTGGTTGTTCTTTAAGTCGACATGAAAGTGAAGAATTTTCACGTTGGGATACAACGTTACTAACTCCGATATGTTTTCCATATGAGTGGCAAATATGGTATACCTGAAGAAGGATAAGGGAAAAGATATGGCTCAGGGAAAAGAAAGATCATTAGTTCAATTACAACAATATGTTCCATTGATGGTTGATGAAAACTCTACTACCAGCTTTGAGCTTTCCATCAATAAACAATTCAACACCAAGTCATTATTAGAAGAAATTTACTTTCCACTTTTATTTTATTAGTTAGCAGAAATCCATGCAACTTCTATTTTTCATCACCTGAAACCGATGCAACTATGAACATGTTAATTTCAGGTGTTTTTTAAGAAAAATAATTTGTTTGCAAAAGCGTGTGTTTCAAACGATAATTAAAGTTTATTAAAAATAACTTCTCAAAGAAAGCTGGGTTTTAAATCGGCAAACTTGCTCCTCCCTTTGAACTAAACTATAGTTTTTTTTTATTAATGTTAGATGAATTTAAATATAAGCAAAATTTAGCATTCAATGCTATTAAATGTTATCCTAATCTCCTATTAAAATAATTACGTGTAGTATAAAAAATATAGTTCTATATTTTATATAAAATTAAATGAACTTAACAAAAATTTCTATTCAACATGAAATAAAGTGTTTTATATATATAGGTCCGACAATAACAATTTCTACCAAACTTTCTTCGTTTTTAGTTTCATACACACACACACACATATATATATATATATATATATATTTTTTTTTTAATTTTATATAAAAATTAATTGCTTCATTGCATTCCAATAAAATAAACGATCTTAAATTATAACAAAAAAATAATTCTAATTATATTCATATATAACATAATAATTAGTATGCGTAACTTTTAATCAAATTATATACCAAAAATTTTAGTGGTGGGTGAAAGTTTAAATATAAGATATATTATTTTGCAAGATCTCATACCAAAGGTTGTACAGATTTTCAGCAAAGAAAATAGGTTTGTTTTATAAAAAATGTTAAGATTTACACAATTTTTGAATTATTTTTTAAATTCTCTTTCATTATTAATTATATATTTTAAAAAAATACTTAATTATGAAATGTATATTGGGACCTATAAAAGGTATTTAAGATTTTAAATTGAAATCTCCTAAAAAGATAAATGGAATGAGATACCGTGAGATCTTCTTACAGGTGCGACGAAAAAGCCCAAAAAGGAATAACCGAACATCTAAAAAATGCATACTGATAATTGAAATTGAAAAAAAAAAAAATTACGCTTTAAGTGACAAAAGATGTTCGCAGCAACTCCACGCCATTGCAAATCCATCCGTGGACGAAGTAGCCCTTCCAAGTTCATCCATAACAATCAGACTCCTGCGTCCATCAAAACATTTGTACAAAAAAATAAACCTTTGTGTGTATCTAGGGTGAAACAGATCAAAAGGTGCAGCATCACCTTCGCGTGACATTCTGCATGATAAAAGCTGTTTCTTTCATCTCTGTCATGAACTATACACATCCAGATAACTTCATCCATAATTCTAAGCCACATGATCAGGATCAAATTGTTTCATAATGCAGGTGTTTAGAAATTGTACCGTGCTAGAGTTGGATTCAAGATTATCAACAGCACCCATCCTCGTAAACATACGATCAACTACCCTGAGAGTTGAGAAACGAGCAGGGACATAACACCCTACTTGAGCAAGAATAACTATGAGACACACTTGTTGAAGGTATGTACTCTTTCCACTCCTGGGGGAAGGGAATGTAGAAAATAAATCTCAAAATTTGATATTCTTCATGTAAGCATATCCATCCAAAAAGAAAGTAATTTTTGCTCTAGTTAATCAATAATTCACTTCTAAACTATATGTGCGAAAGACGTCATGACTAATATGATGCCAGCTACTTACGACATTGTTTGAAGGAAAATACACTGGGCATGCACATGAGTCTAGTTTAAGCTTCTATAGTTCATCAGAATTTTCAAAGTGACAAGCTCATATCAAAGGCATTATGTAAAATTGTTTGAATCCTTTTTGCTTTTGGCTCATCATTTGAGATTTACATTTGCTCATCACTAGTATGTCCATAAATGTTCCCTCATTCTTGCTAGAAGCATTTGGTCATGATTCATGAATAGGTCATTTCTATGTAGCAAAGCACATAGGAATCTTCCTTTATTTAACTGTACACCTTAGACATGTAATAAAAATTTCTTACATATTGGGGCCCATTACAATCACCATATTTGAGGCTTCCGACAGAAATATATCATTGGCCTGAAATGCAAAAGATTAATTACTACCAAAAGAAGTACACATCCTTCCAGGTGAGAAAAGTGTGGTCCTGTGGGGGTAAATTATAACGACTATTGGATATACTCATTACATACAACAAAGTCGTTGTGTATGCACTCCAGGATTGGGTGTCTACCAGAATCAATTGCCAATGGCCCATTCTCTATTAAATAAAAAAATATATATCAATAACGAGTTTTCTTCATTGATGAACAAAAAAGTTACAGAAATTATCAAGTTTCTTACCTGTAAATTCTGGCCTTGTATATCTATCAACAGGCTTAGTTGATATCATATGAGCAAATGAATTGACAATCATATCCAGCAAGCACAAGACTTCAGCTAGCAGTGTCAGCACAGAGACATTCTCACGAATATCATCCATAAGTTCTGTAATTATTTTTTCTATTACAATATATATGAATGAAATACTTGAAATGATATAGCGCAAGTTCAAGGAACTAAATAGATAGGATATTTATCTAGATATCAATTTGTTGTAATTAATTTTATAAAACTTCAACAAAAGACAAAATCCAATCCAATTGAATAACCATAGTTACATATCAAACTAGATCAATTTAATCATGCAAGGTTGCATTAAAATTGTAGTTTTACCAACAAATAATAGTGCAAATGTTTATATAATTTTACATACTTCCAGAAAATTGCTCCTCCTCTCTTCTAAAAATTCAACCGTGCATCGATGGGTTTACACTCTTGTTTTACCAAACTAAATACATTAATGTTGAAAAAATTTACTTCACACACTATGGGAAAAAAAAAGCAAGTAAAAAAGGGAATGGAGAGAAGAAAGCAAATATGCTGAATAGAATTTTATTATTTTCGTGTGCACATGTTTTTTTTATTGGAAACATTGCCAGTTCAGACAACCAATATTCCTTTTATTATGTCAATTTTCAATCTAAAACACTTAAAGCAAACACTAGAGCTAAATCCATAATATAATCCTTTCCAGGAAAATAACTAGTTAAATAAATATATGATGAGACTGTTTTTATGATATTAATTGCGACATGCATATTATATATGATAGAACTGGTTATATGTCCGTTCTCTTATAAAATACTGACAGCAAATACCGCTAACCCATAATGTAGTACCTTCCATGAGATAAGATCTTCTTAACGGAGACATGCATCAGTTTTACGATAGGACTCTGGTTTTGATAACTTGAGTCTCATATTACTTCTCACAATAATCTACATGATATTTCCTGTTTAAATCTAATGAAAAAATATACGCTATTTTCAGAGTTTGTTGCTGAAATGCAATGCAACTACCACAATTTTCCAACTAGTGAAATAATATTTTAGTAGTTTCCTTTCTTGTCACTTGCCAAAGTCAACAAGTTGTTTCATACACGCAGTCATACACAAATAAACAAAGAGAAAACATGCCAAGTCTGTGAAAATTTGTACTGCCAAATGCAGTGCGTCAAGTACACTACCTTCCAGACAAACCTCTGTTCTTGTATAGCATTCTGCGGCTGCAGATTTATTCCTAGCATTCAACTGAGATTTTCGTTAAAATAAATGAAAAACGGAGATTTTCAAGAGCCTAAACAAGCTTCTGAACAAAGTAACCTCTTATAGTGTGGTATCATATCAAACAAATGGAACAGCATTTTATGTCATACTTTTAGCAAGAAGCTTGAATAATGTTTGTCATTTTGGGGAATCAAAAACTATTTAGGGCCAACCCAAAAACATGAAGATAACTGCCTAATTGAAAATCCAAATGCCTAATCAAAGGATAACTTACAAGATTCCTTAGCATATAAGCCGTCTCATATAATAAAAGAATCTCTATAAACTAGTAGGAGGCAGACGGAACAGAAACGGATTCTCATGCAAAATTTTACATGATTTAATTTTGTCATGTGAAAAACTTGTGAATTCCCCTTTCTTCATTGACATTCATAAATTTTGATAGGGCCTCCACCTATTCAATATTTATGAAGGGAGAGAGATACACAAACTTTTCACATGACTTGTCACGAGAAAATCCATTCTTGATCAGAGTAATCATTTTCTTCTAGGGATGACAGAGTTAGCCTGACCATGATCTCATTAAAATTAATGCACACACAGTAAAGCCTTTATATAAGTAATACAGTATAATAGTCAACAGGCACAATTTGTCAATTTCAGTTCATGTATATAATTTATCAAGTTAATCGATATAGTAAGGTGAATAGAATTCTTATGTTCATGAAATCCAGATGATCAAACTACTCACAGATGCTAGTTCCAAAGTCGAGCAATGAATATTATTTCCATGTTTAACAACCTAATATAAGCCAAAAGAACAGTAGGCTCAGGGAATACAGAACTTTTAAAAGAATATTCTTAAAAAATAGCAACAAAAAAAATCCAATCCCTAACCTGAATGAACTTGCTTGGAAGCTTTCCTTGAATATTCTTCTGTGGTATTACAAAGTGGAATCCTTGCCTGTTTTTAAAGGTAAGCTTTAAATTGGGCAACTTAAAATCCTCTCGATAATTGTTTGCAAGATTGTGGATGGCTGTGAGAGTAACACCAATTTCTTTGAGAAAACATGCTGCATTCGAGAAAGACTATACGGTTGACAATAAAGAAAACTCATGTAACCAGATTATAAAACCTTCACTTGTTTCACAAAATGATCTTCGTGAAATATCCAAGAGACCATCAATTCCAGCCTTAACAGCAAAGCATTGTTGGGTGCAGGCAACAAAAGGAACACGTGCATGAAGTACATCTTCATCAATAACCTCCCCTATCCTGTAACAAAAATGACTATTTAATGCATGATCTCTTCTCTGGTTGGAATTAAATACAATTACAAGTATATGACATACAATTTTTTCTTTAATCAATCAGAAATTACTTGGCAAATATTTTTGCCGATGGTATGTGATCATACAGAGTATAAAGTATAATGGGTGGTTGTACACAAACATTTTTATCCTATGATTAGAAATGACTAATTGTGCAATGGATAAATATAATGAATTAAGACGGAGCATTTTGTATTAATAAAAATATATGACAAAGGAAGCAAATATAATGTTTCATTATTTGATTGCATATTATTTTACTCCAAAAATTCTGGTCAATTATTTTCATCATTATAAATTGAGAATATACAAACTCAACTACTAAATGAATTTACAAACAACATTCATCATCTAACAGGAAGCCGTCGTACACACTCATACAGAATAAAATCTCAGCACACCTTTTCTTAATAAGATCATACTTCTCATTTTCACAAACTGACTTGTAGATATTTGAAAGAAGGGAACTTTTCACATCCTTGAGCACCTGACATTTTTTGCAGACGATAGATCATCTGTAACCTCTTTCTTTATTCAATTCCTTCATAATACCTGCTTGATTCTGGTATATAAATGAGAGAGAGACAGGTACCTTAGATAGTAACGGAAGGGCATCCAAAGCAGTCTTAAGAAGGATCACACTAGATACTAGCACCTGACTCTTTTTTGCCCGATCGACTGCCAAGGCCTCAGCTGTAACTTTTTTTGGCTTAAAGCAGAAGTGACATAATACTCTATCTGAAACCATACAGCTCTTCATTACAACTGAAGATGTATAAACTTCTTAAAAAAATGATATATTTTCAACTCCTGCTCTTAATTACCAGTCTCTTTTGGAAATTTACGCAAAATCTGACATAGGCCAAAGAATAGTTGTTCGTTGCTCATCAATTCATCCTAAAACGAAATATTAGAGGGCATGTCAGAAATAATAAATACAAAGGAAGTCAGTTAAAATTCTGTCAAGTGGTTTTCAAGCTTGAAAATTAAAAACAGAGTAAAATACAACTGTATCTATTAACACATTTGTAAGTTTCACACTAAAGCACTAAAAGTAAATGAAGAATAATATCTGGACAGAAATGTATAAGGTGGACTTGTAAAAATGGTGGAAAATATAAATAGAGTTGTTAGGCTAGAAAAAAAAGGAACACATCATCTTAACTAACAAGGAGCATATGGCATAGTACAAAAATATGATTGACACTGACTAGGCAATCAAGTCGAGCATTGATTGTCTCAATATCTTTTAGAGGCTGCAACAGATTGGCACGAAGCAGTCTACTCCTGAAGGAAACAAATAAATGTCAGACAATTAATGCTGCATGAAGAAACTTGTGTAATTCATCACATACCCTCCAATAGTTTTCGTTGTTTTGAGCATGTGAAACAGACTTCTCTTTTTGTTGCTTGTTCCCAGTAGGTTAGAATGAAATGGCTCAATAATTTCCAAATTATAGACACTGCCATTAAATTGTAACAATGAAATTCATAAGTATAGGCTAAACAGATAATATCGAAAAGTAAATTGGACTTTATATTTAAATTTTACCCCCGAAAGAATATTCTTAAATTTTTTATTATTATTTGAAAGTGGCTGCGGACATTGATAGAACTAATATCAGTTGTATCAATTGTGTTGCTCATGAATTTCACTTAATAATAAATGTCAGTAGGGGACAGAAGGCAACCCTAATTAGGGTTATTACAAATTAACCCATGACCATTAAGATGCAGTATCTCATTAGGATTTATCTGCTGTTTAAAAACAGTCAAAATATACATTCAGGGTAATTATTGTACATTATTAGGATTCCCAAAATTTAGTTTACAGTGTTAGGAATTTTACAAAATCTGACCGTATGATCTGTAAATGGGAAAAGTCTCCCAAATTATTCATGCACAGATCGTATTTAAGATCTGCTTAGTAACGTTAGAATGTCCAAAGGGGGGTGTGATGCTAGCATTTTTCTTACAAACATTGGTTTTCCAAAAATAGAAAGTTATATTATAATGATTTCGGCACATATTTGAAGATCAAATATATGGTTAATATTTAATGTGCTTACCATGTACTTAGAATTTATTTTATATACTTCCTTTTTCAATTTCATCATATAATCACTCTTCTATAAATTGATAAGACTGTGTCCACACTATATCAGAAAGTCAAACAAGGAACACATCCAATTTATTGTTAAGGTTTAATTACTCATTTTAAGACCACTGCATTTTTTTGTGGCGGTTTTACACAGCACAATTTGTAATGATGTTATAGTAGCCAGAGCCAACAAAGATTGAAGACAATTGAGGGTAGAAACTAACATGCATTGAATTGAGCCTTTGCTCCGTTTAAGATATAATAAAATAGTTCATAACAGGCCACTAAAGATTTTTTTCAGTCCCTTTTAGGGAAAGTAAATGAAATTTGTAGTCACTTGACACCCAAACTCTCTTCTTTTCTTTCTTCTCCATTTGAGTTTTTGACTTCTATCTATGAATCTGAACGTTAATGCATCAGCATTTATTAGTAAAGAATAGGTATTATCACACAGTAGCAAGCAATCTCACCTGGTCGCATCAATATTCATGTGATCAAATGATCCATTAAAGGTGACCTGAAATAGTGAAAGGCACAAAAACGGATAGAAAACAATCTTCCATGCACCAAATGCTGATTAAAATTTATATAAGAAAAGATACCGGAGATCTGCAGCTTAAGACTTCAAGTATAGAGTTCAGACATTACGACAGTCTAAAAGAACAATAATAATGACAGATAATGGTTGGAAGTTTATGAGATGCAACATCTTGTGTGTGTGAAAATAGCATAAGGAAAGAATGTGCATGAAAACTACATACATTTAAATATATATATAGTTGTGAAGAGTTGTAAATAAAAAATTTGTTGTATAAGCTAAATAACCTGATTTTCCTTAAGGTACAGGACAATCCAGTGACAAGATAAGCAATATAATATGAATTTAAATTTAGTATTAATTAATTAAAATTTAAAAAAGTCAATCGAAAATAAAATTGTGCCTAACAGAAAACGTACCGACAATGAGTAATTGGTAACAACAATCCCTTTTTCTGCTTCCGTCCTGTGCAAGCACAGTCAAAAGTTAACTCCAGGCAGTCCAACAATACAAAAATAAGGATTTAATATACATATACGTATACATGTAGGAACTCATAATAATATGAGAAGGATAGAACAGTAAAAACTTGGAAAGCAAGAACGAGCGGAGCATAAACATTTAAGCGCTAGAAGTTCCTCCTCTAGCACAAAAAGAACAAAAGAATGTGTGTGTAGTCAAAGTTCAGAATCCCGGATAATTCAATAAAGTACGCAAGGTTACCATGTTAAATTATTATCTACTACGCGGGATTTATCATGAACTTAAGTCTAATGATGATAGTAGTCTTGGATGAAATTTAAACGCTTCATTTTATGTAGATCATATATTCATGTTATAATTCCATAGGTCCCAGATCAGAGTTATGTACTTGTATATTAGTGTATAATTCCTGAAGTATGTGACAATGAAGTCCACTATTAGTCTAAAGATTTAGAGTGTTATGATGTATTATTTTATACACTATAAAACCGGTGACGACATATCAACTATTTAGTGTATGAAAAATTCATGAATAGATTTTATATATGAATTTCAATTTCTCAATGTTTGCTATGCATGCCTCAACCCTCGGTGTAAGCAGAAGTTTTGGCATTTTCACTAACTGCTAGAACATGTGTTCACATAAGGGTTATTTCTTCTTTATAAAAATGTTCTATTCAAGTGTTGTTACCAAAATACAATTGTATTCCATCCCTAGGAGATATTTGATTTGTAACCAACTGCCTCTCTTACAAGTTACAATAATGGACAGTATTATTGATGAATAAGAAACTCTCTGTATCATAACTATGGTACTTTCGAATATGTTCGAGTGTTTCAAAAGAAGATGAAAGAGAGTGGAATGGATTAGACCATCCCACTCTAGTGTTTAGTTATTCGATAAAATTAATGAGGCAAGGTCATTTCTTTCCTTTTTAACGTTAAGGGACAGAAATTTGGGGCTTTGAGTGGCAAAGGAGGAATTGAAAGTCCTTCCATTCTTTGGAATAACTCCCAATCCCAAGCACACTTCATGATTTTGCCATTTCATATCCCTGCCACTCCCTGCCTTGGCTTCAATCCAATTATAGAAATATTAGACGCCAAATTTTTGTATGGTCTCTATGCCTTTCTAGGGCTTGAAGTTGTCAAAGGCTCGGGTTCAATGTTATGCTAGCACCTCCATGTTGCAAATATCATAATATCAATTATCAAACAGACATACATACATGCACACACTCATGAAAAGGACAACATTTAGTTTAAAGGAGAGATATTCATTTAATTAATTTCTTTTGTAATTGATATACTCTAATGCAATTTGATATGTTAGTCAGTGGAAACAGTTTGAAAATGAGGAGAAAATGCAACGGACATATTTAGGACTAAACATTAGTCAAGATAATTCTATGTAACTTTCCTTCAACATTAGTCAAAACAGTGGAAACTGTCCTATACTATTAAGAGTTGAGAATGACTCACATTATCACAAAAAGAGACAGGTATACATATAATATCAAAACCTTAAAGAGAAATACCATAGCAAGCCTTCCTTGAATAAGACTCAGAGACTCACTTAACTATTAATTGTATCAAATAATGTATAACAATAAGTTAAATTATCAAAGTGCATCATTCAAGATAATCTGTATGAATATTTTAGTATTGAAATACCACTTTAAAGTGGCAGCAGCAGCAGCCAAGCAGAGATAATACTGCTTATAATAAGTGTCCAAACCAAGTGCTGAAGGTTCCTTGGCGGCAAGGTTTTTTATCAAAATAGCACCCTAAAAAAAACTTCAGTGCATGTATGAGGGGGAAATTTGTTAAAACTTCCTAAAACCTGAAATCAAACTGAAAGACAAAAGGTAAGTAATGAAACCTTCGTGTCATCAAAACAACTACGGGGCAGCACTACCTGCATAAATAAAGACTCCAGGTAAAATGAACTTTGCAGATAGATATTATCAAATGTTTTTCATTTAAAGCATATGGAAAAGGATGCAGGCGCAAAGGGAGATGGTGATATTACCTTCTTGACCGAACCGTACAATCTATCAACCAATTCTGCAACTGCACTGGAGCAATTGGAGGCTAACTTGTTTGGAGGAAGAATGATCACTACGGGATCATAGAAATGCAGTAGCGTCTTTGTGTTTTGATATGAACTGCTAGTTTCAATATATTGAGAAAGATGCAGTGAAGCTGATCTCAAATCGAAAGCAGCTAATCCAACCTGTTAGATGATTGATTAATTTGATTCCATTTAGGCATTATAAAATTTGTCTAAAACCCGTTCCTTAATATGTAAGAAAAGATCATTACAAAAATTGCGTTCAAACTCTGTCAAAAGTGTTTAAATCCATTCTCTATCCCTTGCAAAAGTATACCATAAGAGAACTTCCCGTTTTCTTTTCATAAGTGATAACCAGAGCAATATTCATAAGCTCCCCTGTCCGATTCTTTTTTCAACATCTATGATGTTCCTCAGCACAGTACAAAAAGCTTTACAACCAAATGTCCTTGATCGTAAATTAATGGAAGACATACTTTTACAGTAGAGTTTACAATCTGTCTTGTTTCAAGTTTAGGATCATGTCGGTAGTAACAGATTGCTTTATATTTTTGTCCAAGATCAAATACCATGCGCAAGTCAATTCTTATTTTTTTATGTTAGAAAATATTAGAAGATTGTAAGGGAGGAAAGAACTGCATAGTAGTAGATTACTACAAAGTACAAACCTAGATATAAGTATCATGAAACAAAATGGCCGGAGGACCCAAAACAAGGGGGTAATCATTAAAATATGCACAATTAGAGGCAAATGGGTGATTCCTTGAGTTAGCTTCAAGATAGAGTAATTAAATTGACGTTTAGCATTGGTAACAAAAATTTGAACGCCAAATGGTGCACGTAATTTTGGTTATTTACGGACAGTTCAGACAAATCAGTAAGAATTGGGAACAGAAAATCAAACAACACATAGCACGCAATACACACATTTTGCTACAATCCAAATTAACCTCCGATCACCCTCTCCTTCACAAAAGAACTATTACGTGGTGGATATGAAACTAATTTCCACCTCCTATATCCACTCAATGGCATGGCAATTTAAAAAAGATATCTATATTAGTGTTTCTAACGTTCTATTGAATTTCCTACCGTGCATAAATTAACAAGAACAATTATAACCGCAGTATAATCCTGGAAGTTATGTGAGTTTGGCGCAATGAACTACGGCAAATATAATTAACTAAAAACGAAACTATAAATGACTGCGACGAACGCTTTGCTAGCTGGCAATATTGGATAGAAAAATTGAAGCAAAAGTAAACGAGAGAAAAAGGAAAACACGCAATTGAAATTTCCTTTATTATGAGGAAAATAGAAAATATGTTTATCATAGAATCGAAGTAGGATACCTCTTTCGCTCTGTTCTCGATGAGACCGACAACGAAACTCGAACTCTCTCCACCGTCGTCTTCCATCGTTGCCTGCTTTCAGTTTTCAGAAAAATTTGTTTTCCGCTCCATAGTTACTTATTTATAGGACCGTTTATTTATGATGCTTGGATACAAGGCTCCAATTATAGCGGGAAATTCAACTTCTATCATACATCACTTTAATCATTCAACCGTCATTAGTTCATCATACAGCCTCCGTAATAAAGAGAATAATACAAAATTAAATACAAGTCTAAGTTTTTATATAAAAAAAATAGTTAAACTTAAGAAATTATTTCTTAATTAAATAATATCATGAAATTTAAGTAATTTAAAGAGAGTTTAAGAATTAGAATTAAATTTAATTTGACTCTCGAAATAAGATACTATTTCTTATTAATATTAATACAATTATTTAAAATAATGATTCATTTTAATAATTATATTATAAAAATGTTTAAAATGAATAATAAAACTGAAAAGTAACTAAATTTTTATTTGTTATAAATTTATGATTTTTATATGGGATTCTTAATATAGAAAATATTTTTATTCCAGTCCCGTCATTTAGTGACATATGTTAAATGATGATATTTTACTATATTTAAGCAAATAGGATATATATATATATATATATATATATATATATATATATATATATATATATATATATATACTCTTTTTTTATTTCAATAACTTTTTTTTCATTTATTTTATCTTGTAAAAAAATTATTATTACTTTTTTTTGTTTTTTTATTTACATATATTGAATTGACAAGTTTATGATTGAGGGTCTATATCAATTAACGTGTAACTTTTTTTTTGAATAATCAATATAATGAAAATTACAATAATTTCCTTATGATTTGAACAGAGAACATTGAATAAAATAGGTTCTAAATAATTTAAGAAAATAGTTGTTATCATGTTCAAATATTGATATGGTCATTTAATGGAACAACTCTCTGTATTAGTAAGCATGAAACAAACACAAAATAATATAAACATCTTATGAGATCAATTTGGGGAAAAAAATATTAAGGACCTAAAAATAAAATGTAAAAAATTATTATAGAACAAAATAAATAAATTATGTCAAACGTACTTATTTACAAGCATGTCATCGATAAATAATAAATACTAGAAAAAATTATATTTTTTTTATATCATATACACAAAATTTGAAGAGACAAAAAATATTTAAGTCATATATAAAAATGTTTTTGGAACAAAGGACAATTTAATTATATAATTTATTTATTTCCTTTTATATATTAAAATTTGATTTAATTTGATTTATTGTTTTTTAGTATAAAAAATATATTTGAGTTATTGAATATAGTGAATTTTTAAACAACATATTTAAAGAGATGTTATATTTATCCGAAAAATTTTTTGTATGGATAAATTGAAATTTAAAATATATCAATACCTATAAAAAAATTACAATGTCTTTTTACTTGGCATTTTTTGGTATTATAAGATATTTAATAATTTTATAATAATGATAAAAAAACAATTTAAATCAATTAATGTAAATTAGTTTAATTACATCTAGAATTCATATGAAATTCAACATGAATCACATCTCCGTTAACAGAAGACGACAGTATTCTAATCGGAATCGGAGAAGTGAACGCTCCAATTCATGTAGGTGTTCTCTTCCAGTGTTAAATAAAAAACCGAGCATTGCAATTTGCAATTTGCAACTTGGCGCTTTATTCTTTCTTATTCTGTGAAACCTACCCTACACTATACTATACGCCTCTTCACGGTTTGCGAAAATGAAATATAGGGTTTCACACAAGTTCCCTGTATTTCCTCACCGTATTCATCCATTTAACCACGCTCGTTACTGCACTTCCTTCGCCAAAAAGTTTAAAGCACCTCAACCTCGGGCTTCTATCAATGGCGGAAGTGGAAATTCTCAAGGCCAGTACAGTTGCTTCTCCACATAAATTCATATTAAACTGTCATAACTTTTAAATACAATAGATAAATTTTCGTTGTGTTAATTGATTTGAAGGAAGCTGAATGCTTAAGTATGATAAGTCACATGAATAGCTTATTTATTTATTTATTTATTTTCAAGAGAATGTTTTGCTGTGAATTGTGATAGCCATAATCTTCGTAAGGAAAGATAGGAAGTGTCGTGGATTTTCAAATTGAACTGGGTTTGAATTTGTTGAGTTTGACTATGAATTGTTATTTATCTTCTGAAACGTTGAGCTTATTTGCTATGAGAGTGTGCAGGGAATTCTTTTCTTATACCTGGCGCAACAGTTGCTACCATACTTATGCTTGGTGTTCTCCATGGGCGCAGACTATATGATGACAAGAAGGTACATTCAATTTTGGTAACTTGTAATGCATATATTGTGTTAGACTAATTGGGAAGGGTAAGTTTTGGTCTCACCACTTATTCTTCTAGCAACATCAGTGGCCACATTGCTTTTTAAGTCCACTTGCCTATAATAGCTCTGATGGACCTGACGCTTCCCTCAAATATCCTTAGTATCCTGCTTAACCAAGGTTCACATGCTTGGGGTATGTTTGCTGGCTTATCAACTTGTAGAGTCTAATTGCATTGTCTACGAGGCTGTTTGTTTTATACCAAACCATGGTTGCATGAATACCTTGGTAGCACAAATACAGACCCGGATGAATAAACGTGATTTTTTCTTCTTCCACAAAACATGTTGGAGAAAAAATTATAAATCTTGTCAGTGATTGATCATTGCCATAGGCCATTCCTCCTCCTTTTATAAGTCCGTTGTTATTTTGGGACACACTGCAACAGTAAAACAAATAAAGTAAAATACAAACATATTTTTAACACTCATCTTATTTGTTGGTAGAGATTGCCACTTGTCATGTGTGACAGTGTGAGGCCTTCTGTTTTTTTCACACTGTTTTCAGCCATGTCGCTGGGAATTTTTTCACACTTCACTAATAGGATTATTTTTTTTTTTTAATGTTATGTGTTTTCTCAATTGGAATTGAAGCCTTATATGATTTGTAGTTTATATAGTCTCTACAGAAAAAAATTGTTTATCCTTGTGGCAGACTGAAGAGATGAAGGAGAAAGGAATTGAAGTGGAATTCCAACCTGATGTAAAGGTAAAACTTTTACATCTGTACACAAAAAAACATTTTAGTTGTGTGTGTATCAATACATATTCGTTTTGATCTGAGACATGTGTTATGGCTTTGTCACCACTAGGCTACATTTTTGAGATTACTGCCCCTGCGTTCAATTTCTAGATGTTGGGGATACTTGACAAGCATGGTAAGAAGTCAATGTAATATTTGAATATCCTTTTTATTATTATTATTATTATTATTATTATTATTATATATATACACATACATATATTAATTAGGGAAGCTGTAACCTTTTTTGTGTTTGCAATTTGTTCCCCCTTTGTTGCTACTCGTAGTAAGAATTTGGAAAGGGAAACAATATTCAGAAATTCTGATTAATTTGAGCATAAGTGACCAGACGAAGAAATAAAGTTGACTTTTTTTAATATTTGAAAATACCTATATTATTAGAAGGAAAGAAGGGAAAGTACATAACAAAAGGAGGAAAAAAGCATCACTTCTAATTAGAAAAAATAGAGTACACGAAAAAAATAATGCAACATATTTTTAAAGTATTAGAAAACATCAATTAAAAATATAGTCAAATTATAATATATAAGTGAGGTGCAAGTCTCACCTAATAAACCAATTTTGTGAGTTTAAGTTAGATTTGTATCCACTTTTTAATATACTATCAAAGTCTATCATAGTGAGATCTATTATATCTATCCGTTATCAAATCGCTAATATCCTCGACATGAGGGGGGTGTTGGAGATTACTCATATCTTAGATGTAAGGGAGTTCATAATAACTAGAAGTATGGTTAAATTGTAGTATTTAAGTGGATTGTAACCTCACCTTATAAGTCAATTTTGTAGGCTCGTGTTCATTTTCTAATATAAAGTATATTTTTCTATAATATATTTTTGTCTCCTTTTATTAAGTCAAAGCTAACTCTATAATGTGAAAATGATTCTGCATGTTAAATTCTTTATATGATTTTACCTATTCATGAAAAATTCAGGAATTACCAGTTTGGCTAAGGCCCCATATCTTTAAAGCTTGGGCTCGGGCATTCCATTCAAGTATGATATATAATTTTTAATCATTTCATTGTAATTTGCTCCTATAGCCTTCATCTCAAGAAACTGGCAATTTGTTCACGATAAACTATGATTTATAATAAGTATAATCCTAATTCTTATTATCTTGCTGACATCTCAGATTTAGAAGAAGCTGCTTTACCTCTAGACCAGTATGCCTCTTTAAAAGATTTCTTTGTTCGCACTTTGAAAGAAGGTTCTAGGCCTATTGATGTTGATCCACAGTGTCTGGTAACTGGTAGCTATTTTAAAATCTCAAATGCCTTTGTGGCATCTCCAGTTGATACATAACCTGTTTGACCATATTCATTTTTTCAGGTTAGTCCTGTGGATGGTACAGTTTTAAGATTTGGGGAGTTGAAGGGAGCAGGGGCAATGATTGAACAAGTTAAAGGGTTTTCATATTCTGTGTTTTCCCTTCTTGGTGCAAGCCCTTTCCTTCCAACAACAGTGGAGAGTGATGTTCAAAAGGAGCATAATGAATCAATAACAACTACTGAGAAGAGCAAGAAGTCATGGTGGAAAGTTTCATTGGCTTCGCCAAAAGTTTGGGACCCAACGTCATCACGGTAATGTGATGAAGTATTTCTAATTGCCTTCTGGTTCCAATGTCTTACTGTATCTTGTTATAAGCATTTGTATTTAAGAAGGACCTGATTATTCAAGAATAACGCAGATGGGTACATTTATCTGTTAATCTTCTCAAATTAACTCCTAAATTTCCATCATGCATGTATTTTAATCACCATTTGAGTACTTAATGTAGGTTTCAAATTTATTTGAGTTTCCATCATAAAGTGGTGGCTTATTGACTTCAATTTATAGAGTTTATGATTTAGCAAGCTTGCTGCATTGCA